TGGCTGTAGCAGCGCTATAGCGCTATAGCGCTGCTATAGCGCTGCACAGCAAAAACGCATAAAAAATGATTATGTGGATATCAGTGGGTTGTTATGGTCTACAGTCCGTCAAGTTCATTGTGTACTGAATTCATGTGGTCTTATGGTCGCGGAACTATAGCTACAGCAACTGGGCACTCGCAGTGGTTAATATCATTCCGAAAGAAAAATATTTTTTAGAAAAACCTTAGAGGCAGCGTTCCAGCGAATAAGCCATTCGAACGTTCGCTGGTCCTAAAATGTCCGAATTCATTGCAGTTTTGAAATAGCCAGGCTCGAGCTGAAAAGCACATTTGCAACTGTAGCACTTTTTGCTGTATCTTATTGACTTAAGGTACACTGGCTCGCGATTTCCTAATTAGTGAAGATTCGTTGTAATTTTGAAACAAGCAGGCCCGAGATACGTGAACAAAACTCGCTGCTTCTCAAGTTACGGATGGTCGAGTTCCTGAAGTTATAACGGGTCGAAGAGGACTTATTTTTCATGACAACCTTTGCGTGAAGAACGCTTTTTGGCAAAGACAGCGCAGGGCTAAAGTCAAATGACTTACATAAAACTTCCCTCAAGAAAGTGTGTAAAATTCTTCAAAGAGATAGATTTTCCATGTCACTATTCTCCTAAGTTTTCTGTTGCTAATTACAACAAATAGCTCCTGAAAAAAAAAGGAAAGCAACAAACGCTGTGCATTTTGTGTATTCCAGCGCTCGTCACGCATGAATTCTAGGAAACTGTCATATCCAACATCAATGGCTGAATGTGGCGATTTACCGTGCGCCACCATAACCATTGCGATGATGCTACGTAACGAGTGCAGCGACGAGGAATTAGAAGTCAATTCTCGGCACATTGTATCAAGCGTTAATAAATCCCGATGGCCTTTCTGTAATTTTCTGACAGCGACAGACTTCAAATTTACCAAATCGGTGCATAAAAATTTACCACATATAAATCCAGGAAAAGCTAATCTTTGGCAAGTTGTGCTCATCTATGCACAAAACGAATTTTCTCGCCGCCCAGTTCCGGCAAGTTTTTCGTTATTTTAGCATCGCATAAAGAATGTGTGAAAGCGCATTGAAAATTTTTCCTGGGAAAGGCATCCTAAAAAATTTATAAAAGAATGAGGCAGAAAAGAGGTGCGAAGAAAAGTGTGTTATTTTTTTGTTTTTTAAAAGAGCGCACCGACAACTGAGATGCGACCAAAATACGGCAAAAGCTCTTTTTTTTGGTGTGACAATAATATCTTGATCATTTGAAGGGCAGATGAGGCATGTGCTTATGTTTTTTCACCGCTTCTGCATTGGTAGGTGGTTAAACAGCAAAAATTTAACTTCTGGGCTAGCATTTCAGGTAAGACTTCAGACGCTGTATACAATGAATCTAGTGTAGACCGACGTAAAAATTCAAGAAACTGAATAATTTGCGTTGCAATTTCCAGTTTCCATTCACAGTTCCTCACTGACCTTTGTCTCAGCTATCAATGACATTTACTGCGGTATCGGGATTCTCACGTAATCGGAGTGGGTATGCCACGCCAGTGTTGTCACAGGAATGCTAATTCAGCAGGACGAAACTAATAAGAATTAGCTATGACTGATTGGTAAGAAACTGAATTGGAAGCGATTTTTTCAATATTCGCATTAAAAATTAAAATGAGTACGCCATAATCCGAACCACATTGATTCCACTGTGCATGACGATGAAACTGATATAGTTACTGATGACAAGGAAAAAATTTGCGATATCTTTATGCGAGACTGTAGGGCGAAGTAGTGAGTCGTCCAGCCTGCAATAGATTTTTTTTTCGTTTTCTTCTTCGAATTTAATTCTGGAGCTGAAAATAATTTGCTACACACACACACCAGGTAACCAGCGTGGTCAGGCGGCTTGTGCAGTTTTACTCAAATTGCTAGAAAGATGCTAACAATTTTCTTTCGCCTGGACTTTGCTGTATTCTTAGACAAACTTTCGAAAGGGTGAATTTATTTACCAAGGGTAAACTTAGGTTTCCAGGGATAAGAAGCATCCTCTCAAAATTTCAGTTTTTTCATGCATTTTTGCCATGCAGAGCTATAGTGCTGCAACAATCAGCGAAAGGGCCCTTTATATATATACATATATGAATCGGAATATATATATGTATATATATATATATAT